AATGTTATGCAATATGCTTATTGGTCATCAAAGAACAAAATTGTAGGCTGAGAGAGATTTTAGTGTTAAATATATTGGGCAAATTAATTAAGGAAAGATATACATATATATACAATCTGGAAAGAAATGGAAGGGAGATATTTTAGGAAAAACATTAATTTGGGTTTAATTATAGAATGACGTTAGAGAGGTGAGTTGAAGTATAGATAAGGATATTTCAGGGGAAAGATGTTATGTGAGTACAGCGATAGGAGGTGTTTTAGGATATTTCAGCGAAGGAGGGGAGGTGTTTTAGGAAATATATTAATTTGGGCTAATTAGAGAGTAACTTTGTAGAGGTGAGTGAGGGAGGTGTTTTAGGAAATATATTAATTTGGGATATTTTTTTTTTGGTAGAACATTAATTTGGGCTAATAAGAAAGTTACTTTAGCTGATTAAATCAAGATTTCCATCAACTGCACCATGCAATAAAAGAGGTGAACCAGTGATAAAATAATATGTCACAACTGACATCTTTAACCTGATTAATGTTTTGATGGTAGGTACATCTTGTGAAATATAAACCTATGAAAAATATAAGCCAATGAAAATAAATAGATCATGTAACATCTTATTAGTTGAAATTTTGATTTAATAAATAATAAATGTTAATTAATGCACCATAGTTTGACTTATATTTTAGGAATACAAGGGATTTCATAAAGACGGGTTTTTAGTAATTAAAAGAATTGATGAGAATTGAGATATATCTATCATTTATATTTATGTTTTCTAAATTTTAAGTAATTAAAGGAATTGATGAGACATATCTATCATTTATATTTATGTTTTCTAAATTTTAAAGCATAAATATTTCACATGTGTGAGATGAGAGAGGCGAGATCAGAAGGCTATGTGTGAGGCCTACGGTGACCACTCCAACACACTTGTTTTACCATGTTAAATCACCAAATAGTAATCTCACTTGTTTTACCATGTTGGTGATCAATATGGCACGAACCATCATCAAACTTCTTTTCCATCCAATCCAAACAATCAAATACCCTTTCTTGTATTGAGTCCTATTCAAGTTACAATCAAGGAAATACTTATAGTTAATAACGATTTAGGTATAAAAATGCTACCTTAGATGGTTGATCAGAAAACGGATCTCGTGGGCACACTCCCTAAACTCACTGATACCTGTCCCGTAAGTGCACACAAGTCCTTCATACTTATTTAGTGCATTCACTAAGGCTGTGTTTGGTTTGAAGCAGGGGCAGAGCTAGAAAAAATTCTTAAGGGAGGCCAAAACCTAAAAAACATAGATAGGGGGGCCAAAAACTAAGAAATATGGATAAAGGGGTCAAAATATAAATGGAATTTAAATAGGTTTTGTGGGAATTTTGAAGGCATAGGGGGGGGGGGGGCATGGCCCCCCTCTGCCACCCCTGGCTCCNATAGGGGGGCCAAAAACTAAGAAATATGGATAAAGGGGTCAAAATATAAATGGAATTTAAATAGGTTTTGTGGGAATTTTGAAGGCATAGGGGGCCATGGCTCCCCTCCGCCACCCCCTGGCTCCGCCCCTGGTTTGAAGGTCCACCCCTGGTTTCCTTCAAACCAAACATAGCCTAAGGGAATGATACTAAACACAACCTAAGGCTCAGTTTGGAAAGAGTACAAATAGAAATATGTACCATACAAATACATAAAAATAACACAAAATATGAGGTTTTACATATTTGTATTTGTACTCCTTCCAAACTGAGCCTAAGTGTGCCTATCAGAATCTGACTTGTTCAACCAATGGATTGTTCTTTCTCTTCAGATTTACTTGAAATTCTAATTGATACTGTGACCAAAGAAATTAAATTAACGGGTCATTCACTATAACACCCTTTATAGTTTCTCGGATTTACTTAAAACCTATCCTATAGTTTTCATTTTACTAAAACACCCCCCTATAGTATGCAACCTATTTACTTAATTGATTTTTCACCTAAACTGAATTGAATGGAAAATATTCAAGGGCATGTGCCCATGATTGTATATTCCAAAGTTACCTCTAACAATTCTCCGTACAAAAAATAAAATTGACCAAATAGGAACAAATAGAGTGGTAGCTCCAGTTTTATTAAGGTTAAAAGTATAAGGTATTTTTATTCTTATTTTCTTTTGATTAAATTTATTTAAATGGATGTATCAAAACTATCATTTTCCACTGTTATGTAATAAAAAGATCAGTTATGTAAATCCATTACAAATTATATACAAGCTAGGTTAGGTTTTAGAAAATCCATAAAACTATGGGAATGTATTAGTAGATGGCCTAAATTAAATTAATTGGACAAAAGTATATAGCTGTAATTGGATTTGATCAAATTTGGATATGGTATATTAGATTCCTATCCAATAAGAATCCAAGTGGTCTGAATTCCATTCCATATTTGATGGACATGTATAATATATATTTGGATTTGATTCTTTTATATATCCAATAATAAATTTATGATGTCAGAAGGACATGATAATTAGAAGAGCTTTGACCCCTGTGAATTTTAATGAATATCACCTAATTGATTATATTATTACTTTTATGATACTAATTGATTTACTTTTATGATACTAATTGATTAGTTTTAAATGTTTCCAATATCATGTCTTTCCCTGTATAGTTATCTTATTCAAATATGATAGCATATCACTAAACGTTTATAAGATTAGCATGAACTTACAAAATTTCATATAAAAGAAAAAATTTATACTACAAACAAATTAGGTTGATCAAATCCCATATCCCACTTAATTAACTCTAAAGAATATCTTAACCAACTTCATAACACAGACCCTATAGGTTCTATAATCAAGACTGAGGTTTGAACGACCGATAAGATCGAATTATAATTGACAACTTTAGTTTTAATCTGTAATTTGACAGAAAACCTACTTGGCCTATATCGAATGTATGGACCTTTTTTTTTTTTCTTCTTCTTTTTTCTTGGTTTAAGGAGAGGGGAGAGGTGAATTGAAATGCGTGAATTTAATTGAAAACATGGGGGGGGGTGAAGATAATAGTGCAAGAACAGAAAGCAAATTAAGAGTGAAAATTAGACTTACATGTCCTCGTCTGCATGTCAGCCATTTCTCTTGCTACAACTTCAAAAGAGAAAAGTAGAATACCAATTACAAGAATGCCAAAAATAAGATGTCTCTTAGAAGCCATTTCCTTGTACTTGCAACCCTACTAACGAAAGATACTGGGGAAGATGGAATTATCCTACAAGGGAAACAAAGCAAACTGTCATATATAAAAGATACAACTGGGTCAACCTCATACACATGGACAAACTGGTAGAAATACCGTCTGGGTCAAACCGTGTGGGCCATGGCGGCTACAATGGTGTTCTGTCACCATGATGCATCTTGAAGTTTGAATTCCATGATTAAGTAGCCTACAGCTAGTTTGAAGTTTGAATTCCATGATTATCTAGCTTATCCGACTTTTCTAAAAAGCCAATTTCGATCATAAAGAATAAAACGTGCCATTTATTTTTTACCTCAAACTTTGATAAAAAGGTTATTTATAGGCAAAAATTAACGTGGTTGTTGGTTTTCAACAGCTTTTTTTTTTTTTTGTGCATGTTGTTGGTTTTTTAGAAGTTTGATAGCTAGCATTTTTGTCTTTTCTTGTTTGATTATGAAAATATCTAATTGCTGAAAGATGCAGTTCTGATAATATATAGGAAATTCATTTTAGGTTATTTTCAATAAGTTCCAAATGGAGTTTTTCAATTTATTTCATCTTTGTATAAAAAAACTTACCAAACAACACTTTATATGGTACTACTGAAGTTTGAAAAATGCCATTTTATGTTTTTGAAAAATGCCACTTTCAACCCTAAAGTTTGAAAATAGCCACTTTAATAAAGTTAAATAAGTAAATTACTTCAAGATCTAATTAAATGGCCTTAAAGTATTTAACTTACTTGGTTAAATTAATCAAGAAAATTTACAAAACTACACTAATTAAGATAATTAAGTAAATTAAGCAATTAAATAAGTAAATTAAATTAATTAAGGAAGTAAAGTTATTTAGTTAAATTTAATAAACAAAGCTAATCAATCTAAATAAGTAAATTAAGCCAATTAAGAAGTTCTAAAAACTGACCCAAAATGGAACCACTTTGGTCACCAGTTTTTAGGAGAAATGGTTTTTTTGAACTTTTATACAAGAAGAAAATTGATTCACCCCATGTATTGGTGGGCAAATTTGGGTCCAAGCTAAGGTTTATGTTTAGGTTGGCCTTTAACCTAACCCAATCTATGTAATTGACACCGTTACTTTATTAGATAAAGCTAAAGGAGATTAAAAGAGATTTGAGAGGAAATGAGAGATTTAATAGGGGGGGGGGGGAGATGTTACAAACATTGACCGTTAAGGTGAGAGAGAAAATGGTGTTATTATAGAGTAAATATGAAATTTATGAGAGATAATAAAGACCCATCAAGGTTTTAATTTTGTCTTGTTATATTTTTAGTGATTTCATTTAAAAATAAATATGAACATGTGTGAAAAAGGAGAGTAGGAGGAGCCACATGTAAGCTCTACGGTGAGAGGATTCCTCACCTCTCCTCTTTATATATATATAGATAGATAGATAGATAGATAGATGCCAAAAAATCACGGGCAATATTTTTAGAGAGTGAGAGATGCTTCCTATTCCAAAAAGGATTCCCTCTCCATCAATCTACATTATATAGATTTGCTTTGGCATTTTGGCTCTAGCAACCCCTAAATTTTGCCAAAAGGCCAATTTTGATCCTAAAGAATTTAAAGGGCCATTTTCAACCCCAAACTTTGGAGATAAGGTCAATTGTAGGCAAAAATAGACACCATTTGAAATGATACAGACAAATCCATTAAATAACAAATAAAATAATAGGATAAACTACGAAAGCCCCCCTTATACCATGGGTCTGTGACAAAGACCCCCCTGTACTATGACCGTGAGACAAAGACCCTTTCTGTTAGCCTTTGGTCCAAAAACGCCTTTACAATATTTTTTAATTTCCATATTGTTCATCTTGGTCATATCTCAAACAATCTTCTCTTTAAGAATTGGAAGAAAGAAATTGAAACCCACCCCACAACACCAGCTTTATCATCCGCGAGATCGTCACAGCAATTCCTTCTCGTAATGAGCCCGATAGCTCGGTCGACCAATCTTCGTTTCCCCTCCGAAGCGATATATTCCCCTTCTCTGTATGCGGAGAGATTCCCCCACCACCCCCTCAAACCAATTTCTCGAACAACACCAATCTCTCAAGCAGGCCATTTCAGAGCTCGCGGATGGCGACTCATTGGAAAAATATCGTTCAAATCATCTTTGAAACGGGGTTAGAAAACGAGATGAAAGGTGCATTGCAGATGGTGACGAATTGTTGAGAGTTCGACTTTTGTTTGTGATTTGGGAATCAACGGGAATTCTAGTCTTTGCACTCAACAGTACTACAATATTTGCGGGATCATAAGGTCGGGGTTCTCCGCCAAGATGGACGGCATATTGACGCTATCGAGCAGTTGGAGAGCACACATGGCGCTGCCTGATGAGATCGAAGAGGAATTCACCTTCACGAATGTGAAGCGTGCCATACTGGTGTGCCGAGTTGTGGCGGGTCGCATCGGAATCATCGGATGTGATGAAGATGTGGAAAAGGCAACTATGAAAAAAAGGGCAAAGGATTTTAGAAGGCTAGTTTACAATCGGATGCCATCAACATAAATTGCTCAATTAATTGATACCTACTTCACAATTTCGTGTTGAATCCAGATGAACGAAGTTGGTGAAACATTGGTTAAGATCAGAACATAAGAAGGCTAGCTTACCCTTTGACGCCGGTGAAACGGATTGGGAATGGACAGAGCTTCTAAGAGACGCCATGAGACGAGAAGCTTTGACATCTCCTGAAATTTCTCCAGAGACCATGAAGATCCTTAACTCTCCGTCTTTAGCAGCCATTTCCACTGCAGCATTGCTACAAACAGACAGTGTTCCTCTGCTACCATGCTCGAGGCAAAAATATTGAAGCAGGACTCTTTAACTGAATATTGAAAAATCTTCTGTTGTAGTAGAAAATAAGATGATCATGACGCTCTATTTCTCTGCACTACATGAGGGCAAACTTCATATACGCTCCAAATTTGGGTAAAATACTTAATCCAAATTAGATGGATTAAAAAAATCACTTAAATTATCCCTAAGTTTTTTTCAATCCGAGAGTTGTACTTCCTTACTTCGTTATTGTATACAGTGTGTGATCGGTGAGTGTGATTTTCCGGAGCAAATGTGAGGGAAGGTAGGGGAAGATTAACAGTATTCGGAATAGTTATTATAAGTGTAGTATGGGGATTAAAAAGTATTATAACGGTTGAAGGGGTTTTTGTTTCAGTACAGGGGGGTTTTTATCGTAAAATAAAATACAGGGGGTCTTTGTCACAAACCCCATAGTAGAAGAGGTCTTTGTAATTTACTCAAAATAATAAAAACTGTTGTGGCATTATTCAAGTAAAAAAACTGATAAATTACAAGTGGATCCCACTTGGTTTTTTTTTATATTCATATGAAACCAAGAATAAAAATACAAATAATTTTGTATTTAATAATTAATTAATAAAAAAATTAATTATAGCTGAGTCGCACTTAAAATTCTCCACTTGTTCCCCAGTTCTCACACTATCTCTCTCTTCCTTATTTCCTTTCAACAATGGAGATGACACTACCAAAAGTGCCCCTTTTCCTTTACATTCTGCCACTTGTTTATTTTCTTTCAATTTCTCCTGCAACCTAGTTTTGGCTAATGAATTTTCATTTGTACCGGTGATTTTTGGCCAATTTATCATTTGCATTTTTGAGATTTTGTTAGCCTCTGTGTTTTCTATGCCTTTATTCATCTAGCTCACTTAGTAATTTGTCATGGGAGGATTCTGTTTTTTCTCCCTCCTGGCGAGGAGCACCTCCACCTTAATGAGCAACCCCCCCACCCCCACCTCCCAATTCTCTCTCCACCACCACACCATTTTCCAAGAAATTTCCATCACTTCTTGCTGATAAGAGTTTCTTTTCTTCTCTTGATTGTTGTAAGCAACTGGTAGTTCCTTATTCTTTCTTTGATTTTAGATTTTTCAAATTTTTTAAGATTTGATTTTGGGTGTAAGGTGAGGGATTGTTGTAGGCCATGCTCTACCACTGGTGGAATAGATGGGCGAATCAATTGCTACTGATGGGCAAAGGTCTAACCAACACCTTTTTTTTTTTTTACAAAAACATACCAGCTCATGGATGATCTTTTCATTGACAATGTGATTTTGTGGAATGAGAATAGTTTCACTTTCATCGTCTGACAGCCAACTAATTTCGCTAGAGAACTGCTACCAAAATATTTCAAGCACAACAGTTTTCAAGCTTTGTTCAATAGCTTAACACATACGTGAGTATTTTCCTTTCTAAGAAGAAAATTGTAGATTTGGTTAAATTGGAGGTTAGGCAAAGGAGAGAGCAAGGGAAGAAGAATAAGAAGAAGAAGGGGGAGAGAGAGAGACCTAAACAAATGGGACCCACCTATAATTGATATTTTTATTTAATTATTTGACAGCCAGTTGAGTTCGCTAGAGATCTGTTACCTAAATATTAATTTCAAGTACAATAATTTTTCAAGCTTACTTTTGAGCCCCATTCACTTTTTGGTAAGTTACTTAAATAAATGCAGTTATGTGGATAAGTTTTTCTTGGGAAACACTTACCTGTGCAAGTGCATTTACTCATGTTCTTTTATTTCTCATGTAAATAAGGCAATGACCATTTTATCCATAAAAATCCATTATTAAAAAGGGTATAGTAAGTGAAATCTAGGAAAATAAACTTTCCCTAGTCCCCACATAAATTTGAAAACTGAGCATGAAATTCTTGGTCAATGATAACCAAAATCCCATTGACCAACTTTTCCCCCTCTTAGAATCCGAAAAAAAAATGCCCCCTTGGTCCTAAGGAAAAAGAAAATTGTATATTTGGTTCGAGAGGAGGGTTAGACAAATTTACTTGAATATATAATGTTACGTCAGCAATTTTTATTATTTTGTTTGTTATTTAACAGATCTGTCAATGCCATTTTAAATGCTGTCTGATTTTGCATATGGTTGGCCTTTTCTCCAATGTCTGGGGTCGAAAATGGCCTTTTAAATTCTTTATGCTGTGTCTGGTTTCAGTGCAAAACTATGATAGTGCAAATGATTTGACTGCAAGTTTTGATTTAATTTTGTTTCAAATTTTACTTTACTTTGCTTGATTGTATTAAAAATGAAATAAAATAAGACCTAAAGCAGAATAAAGTAAAACCCAAAATAAAATTAAACCAAAATTTACATTTTTTTATTTACACTCTCATACATTTATACTAGTACAAATAAAATTGCACTGCAACTAAACACAACATTAAAATCAAAATTGGCGTTTTCACAAAGTTTAAGAATTGCCAGAACCAAAAATCTGATTTGTTTACTTGCCCCACCCATTTACACACCCTCTTCATTTAAGGCAAACCAAATTTGTGAGCTGCTTGCTTTCCTTTTCTGAGACTTCTTAGGTGAGAAAATAACACTTAGAAATTTCCTTACTCCCCTTCGTCTATGTTTATTGTTTCAGAACAAGCCAATCATTTACCTCCTTATACCCTTCGAACCATGTAACGTTCTATCAAACTATTTTTTATTATTTTACTTCAACGTTCTATCAAACTTCTTAGTTCTTATATGATTCATTGTTGTTATTTTTTCCTTTGTAATGTTCCACTGTTGGTCTACCACCTTGGGTAAAATTGCATAATTACTATCACATAAACGGATCCTTCATATGTTCTGAATGGAGAGGGCAAACAAGGGTGACGAGGGGTATCTTAGCACAAGCATCCCAATTTAACAAAATTTTCTTCTTCCGTTTCATCTTCCTTCTCTATGGCTCTCTAAAGTCAATCCACATTGTAGATCCTAGTGTCTTTCACCCCTGCTGTCCAAACCCGTTTTGGAGGATACGGGTGAAGATGATGATGTAAAACGGGTCATGAAGGGACCATTATGAGATAAAACAAAGGTTACCCAAATCCAGTTCTACAACCCGTTTTATAATGTCAAGTTACCTATTATATTAACGTTGAATATATGTAGTTAAGCCATAACCAAGATCCGCTTAGACATTTGGGATTCCAAATCTGGTACAAACAGCCTTGCATTGAAGGAACCCTATTTACTTCTATTTTTCCATAAAAAAGAATTTACTTCTGCTTTATCTTTTTTTTTTCTTTGCCACTATATAAAGAAAGAAATATTCTTTTTTCCTTGTGAGAAAATAAATTATCAAATATTTCGCATGATGAGAACAATTGGAATATTACTAAAATATCTTTTATAAATATTTAGATGATAAAAAATGTAATAATAATTGGAATATTTTTCAAATTAAAAAACTTAAGAAACTGAATTAACTTAACTAAACTAATTCACTTAACTTACTTCACCTAACTTAGTTAAGTTAATTTCAATTTTTAAATTAACTAAATGGTGTAATTAAGTTATCAATTTAATGGCAGATTAGGCTCACGTTGCCCAAGGGCTAAGCCTGGACTCAAGTCACTCAACCCTAAAAATTAAGAAGGCCCAAACATTTAGGCCCAGACCAGGACTGAACAAGACCAGCCAATGTGCATTTGTGGGCCTAGTTGGTCCAGACTTGGGCTAACCTCTCCCTTTTTTTTTTTTGATAAATGAGTGAAATTTTATTAAACCAGCAAATAAGAGTTACATGAAACCCATGAAAAGGCACAAGATGCGACATTTCCTTTAAAACTAATTACAGAATTATAAGTACAAAAGAAATTACACTGAAGCCCAAAATAAAGTATCTCAAGAAACTCCTTGTTTTGCAAGTGAATCAGTCTAGATATATGACCGTTTTGAGTTTGGACCCATACTACATATGGGTCTAATGGTTTGATGCCAATATAGCTCCATATGTTATACAAAAGGTGTAAATGCAAATGATTTAACTAGCCAATGCTTTAAATTATATATTTAATTAGGTAACTTATTTACCAATTTATTTAGTTAACTTATTTATGCGGTTAAACAATCTTAAGTCATATTTAAAAATTATAAAATTGTAAAAATTATTTCAAATTTGTTAATAATAATAATAATAATAAATTTATTAATTAAAAATCTAATTAAAGTATAAATATTATAAATAAAATTAATTTTCTAAATAAAATTAATAAAAAGTCTTATAAAATTAATTTTCTATGAGAAATTTATTGATTTTAAAACTATTTTTTATTAATTTAAACTCCACTTAAAATAGTTACATTAATAATGCTTTATGGTAGGCCTATAACCTAACCTAGCCCATGATGACACCTATTTAAGAATGTCATAGGACTATTTCTACTTCATTTTCTCCAAAAAAAGTCCATATATAATAAAGATAGAGCTTAGGAGAATAAGGATGCGAACCCAATAACCCATAAACCAATTTCCAACTTAAATTAATGGATCTTAAGTTTTCAAAATGTGCCACAAAAAATACAATTGAAAGACTGCCAAGACAGGTTGGGTTGGTATCATGTTGAACCACCCTATAGGGTTGTGCGGGTTGTGGCATGGGTTTCACTCGACCATAACTTGACACTCTCATGCTTCCACTCAAACCCAACCCAACCCGTCTCAATACTATGCATTTTGTGAACTTGCCCTGGCATGTAGGGTTCAACTTGATATTGGCCCAACTTGTTTTGTGGATTGTATTTTTTTTTTTTGGTGAAATTTTTTGAAAACTTAAGAGCCGTTAATTTTAGTTGAAAATTTTGGTTAATGGATTTCAAGGTATCTTTTCTCCAATGTGAGAAAAAAAAATAACAAAAAGTGAAATAAATCATATACAAAGTTAGGGATTAGAAATCAAACAAAATTACAAGAATACCCTTTATATGTAGGGGTGTTATGACCTGATGGGCTGAGGGTTGCCTAAACTAAAACCTGACTTGGGTTAAATAATCAAAACTCGAACCTAACCCCCACATCCGATTTGGGTTAAAACAAACATAGAAAGAAATCATAAACTTTAAATTTAGTAGTTAGAAGTTGGACCAAAATACAAGAATGCCCTTTATATATGTA